GCATTGAATTTTTGCTCATTTTACAAATGATTCTTGCTCTTTGTCAAATTAATGCTCATTTGTGAGTGTGTTTGAATGTTTTAAATACGTTAGCCTACTAGCTCAAGGGTAGAGCATTGTGCAAATGCACAAAAGATGTGGGTTCGAATCCCACGTAGGTTCATTTATGTAATGTGGAAACACAAGTTTGTATGAGAGTTTAATTGTAACAAAGTTTATTAAGTTATAAATCATTTCAAACCATTTTTTTGCTCATATAATTTAGTACGAATTTGATTTATTTTTCTAATTAATTTTGTTTATAGAGATAACCTATGTAGGAATTGAACCTACATCCTCTATGCATTTTCATAGTGCTCTACCAATTGAGCTAATAGGTTTATCATATGTTTTAAATCATTTTTTATGTTATAAATTGTTAATCAGCTCATTTGATAAATCAACAAAGAATTGCTTGCTCATTTGGTAAAATGAAAAAAGAATTGTTGCTCATTTGATAAATGAGCAAAGAAATACTTGTTGATTTAATGAATATTAAAGAAATGTTTGCTCATTTGACAAATGAGCAACTAAATGAGCAACTAAGTTTTTGCTCATTTTTTAAATGAGCAACTTGCTCATTTGACAAATGGGCAACTAATTATTTACTCATTTGACAAATGAGCAACTAACTATTTGCTCATTTTCTAAATGAGTAAAAAATTGATTGCTCATTTCCCAAATGATCAAAAAATTGATAGCTAATTTCCAAATGATCAAACAAAATGTTTGCTTATTTTGCAAATGAGTAACAAATAAGTTTTGTTGCTTCTATCAATAAAAAACTCAACATACCAAAACATGCATTACTTATCCAATTACATAGGGTTCAATTACGTTTGATTACATTAATAATTCATTAATTTAGCATAATCCATACAACACAACAATCCAAAATTACAACAACTACATAAATAATGGAATTGATGATATACATTGTTTACCTTAGATACTACTGTCGAGGGCAGTGTGAACTGAATTGTTATCAAAATTCACCATTTAGGAATGATCTGGTTGACAAGGTGCTTGAAAAAAAAATCAGGATGGATTAGAATTGTAGAATGATTTGATGCTTCAAATTTGATGTTTGGTAACATAAGTAAAATTAGGGTGGTTTACAACAATTATTACATCCTACTCAACCAATAAGAGTATATAAAAATCTATTAATCTACTGTAATTCAGGCAGAGCTGTTTTAGCCCCGTTATGGGTCCGAGGCCAAATCTCTAGCCATGAACGAATTCGACTCTAGGGCAGGTTTTAGTTGACGGGTCTTGTACTGTTGTACAAATCAAATTTAGAGTTGGTCCATTACACTACCATCAGAAATGACAAATAAAACCTTTACAAAATAAAAACTTAAAAATGAAGCAAACAAAACATGGCTCTTTTTTTAGCACCTCGAAAGTTTCTAAACCAATGAGGTGCCTAATTAATCTATATACATTGTAATTAACTTAAATAGGTGAATTCCAATATATGGTTCTAAGTATTTAAGATATATATAAGATCCAGTCACAAAAGCACAAAAGGAACCGAAAAGAAAAACTGGAGTATAAACTGAATACAGGACAGTTGATTCTATGTTCATAAGCATGTTAATGCTAGGTATTGAATCTAGTAAAACTCACAATTTGAGACCACTTCAGGAATATAACATGAACATTCATACCATATCACACAGACATTTTGACAATAACAGCAAATTTGATTTAAGTCAAGCGAAGAAAATTACTTCTTATGGAGGCTTGACACTTCACTTTATAATCCAAAGGAAGACATTCTTGTACAGCAACATCAATCGGAATTACAAGTTGTAATTATCAAGCCCCAAATCTCGTAGAGCATCTGTTGCAGCAGCCTTGCAATTCTGATGACTTTCTTTGGCCTTTCTGATGATCTTCTCAATGCCATTGTCAAGCAAAATTTTTCTACAAAAGACGGCAGATTAAAATTTTTAGTCAATCCCTTAGAGTTGTCTCTTTCAAGTATCAATGAATCGGCCAATATTATAACACATGATGAAGTGTATAGTAGTTAATCTGTTGTTACTACATCCCTCAGAAAAACAAAGAACGTGGTGATCATCGTTCTACCAATATGGCAGCAACTCCAACAAGTGCTTCTGATACAATACAAGTTCAGGGTCTTTCGAATTCTACCAATTTAGCAACTCCAACAGTACTTCTGATACAATACAAGTTCAAAGTCTTTTGTATTCTACCAATTTAGCAACTCCAACAAGTGCTTTTGATACAATACAAGCTCTCCCAAATGCAAGTTATGCTATAACCAATGCTCAAAGGTCAGGAAGTACTCCAAGGCAACAACCAAAAAATGTACTCAACCAAAAAAATCGAATTACTTAAATCAAACTAAGAAATCTACAAAAAATAATTAAAAAAAAAGCATAGAAAACGCAAAAATCAGGAAAAAAAATCAATAAATATAAAATCAATGAAATTGGCATATAAAATCGCACAAAAATTGAACAACAAATCAGATTATGGAATCACACAGGAAGTCGAAAAAATCGAACAAAAATTAAACAGGATACGCACAGGAAATCGAACAAAAATCAGAAAATTTTTTTGATGAAATTGAAGCTAAAAATCGATATGATAATCCAAAGTAGAACTAATATCGAAAATTTTGATCATAAACGCTATTTTATTCGTAGAATTTGAAATAATTATCCGAAAATAAGATCACTCAGTTTGAAAATTTTAACGAAAATCTGAAAATAAAGAGCATGAAATTTGAAAATTACTAGCCAAAATTAAGAACGTCACTTACTTGTTTATTATTCAATGAAGCTTGTTGATTCTTGTTGTTGCTGAAATCTGACATAAATTGAACGGATTTGTGCTCACGATCCTTGAATCTCATTGAAATTCGTAAAAACTGTGCATGCAAATATACAATTTCTACAAATACAAGAATTTATCAAGGTTCTTTTTTCGTTGAACGTTGGTAATTTGGATAGGATCCATTGATGATGATATTTGTAGATTGTAGTTGTAGAAATTTTTGGAAAGGGTTTTATAATGAAAATCGAACGATTTTTCTCTCTGACAGTTTTTTGCTAATTTTTTCCAGAAATGGGGGAGTGGGTTTGAATAGTGGTGATTAGAAAGGGAACTAAAGTGGGTTTAAATGGCATTAAATGCGGAAACATGTATTTACTGATTTTGCCATTACTATGCGCTTTTTCATCCGTCAGATCTATTTAGTTCAATGGCCCAGATTTGGTCTCATATAAGAGATGGTCTCACCTAAGGGGATGGTCTCACCGGATCCCGACCCAATCTATATATATATATATATATTTATATATATATTGCACAAATTATTTAGTGAGTAATATAAGAAGCAGGAATTACAGGTTTGTCCCGGAGGAAAATATAAAGCCAAAATAGAAAATTGTCGTCGTTAAGTCCGTCGCAAGGTTCCGACGGAATCAAATTCCGTCGCAAAGAAGAAACTTTCCGACGGAAATATCCGTAGGAAAGTTTCTTCTTTCCGACGGAATTTTCCCTCGGAAACAGGGGGACCTTCTAACGAAAAAAATCCGTCGGACGAGGAGAACATATCGACGGAAAATTCCGTCGGAAGGTTGGAATATTTCGAGGGAATTATGTCCGTCGGAAGCTTGCGACGGAACTCCATTTCTGGTCAAACTAAGTTTCCGAGAAACTGAATCCGTCGGAAATTTCGTCGGTAAGGACGTTTCCGACGGAAAATCCCTCGGTATAACCCAAATTTCCTACAAAGGGGTCTCCGACAACAGGTTCCGACAGAAATCCGTCGGAAACTGGTTTTTCCGACGGATTTTTAAGGGTTACCGACGGAATATTTCCCTCGTAAATAAGCTGTTTTCTAGTAGTGCTCATGGAATGAAGTGGTCAGAGGATCACTGGTGTTGATTGTAGCAATGAGATTCTCTACATGTTCGTCCTGACCAAGATCGGGTGTCTGGCCATCTTTAGCCATTTCAAACGAGTATCCCCATAGATGGCGCCAAATGTTTCGGGGTTTTTTTGGAATCCCTCGGGATACTGATCTTGAATATAGACGGACGGTTGCGGACACCGCAAAACAACGAATATTCCGGTTGACGGAATATTCGCCTCCGACGATCAAGTAAGTGATCGGAAACCGAAATAAATGTAAAGAGAGAAAGTAGAGAGAAGTTGGAGCTTTTAGTGCTCTTAAAATGATATGTCTTAATCCACCCCTCCCATCATAAACGATTGGGGTATTTATAGGGGTGGAAAAGTGTGCCTCTCTAGGTTTAATGACCTAGAATAGTGTGCTCTGATTGGTGGCGCAATCAGGGGAAGGCACGTGTCCAAAAGGGACACCGTTTGCGGCTTTCTCGGGATTTGGGCCTCCTGATATAAGGATGCCCTTTTCTCTCATTTCAGGTGCTCTTTATGTTTGACACGTGTCATCTTCCTATACGGACATGTGTTGTCCGTTAATTGGACCACATGTCACTATGGGATTGGGTCACGTGTTGGGGTATTTTTTACGCTAAACAGTTTTGCCATTTCATTTAATCAATGGGGAATAATTTTGTCATTTCATTTTTTTTTTTATAAAAAACTACCAAAACAGCAAACTGATTATGTAAATCATAAACTTGAATGAGGATGCCCAGGTTTATCACCGAGATAAACAATTTTTGTTTGTCACATAACATTTTGGTAAATAAATCAAAAACATTATCTAATCATCATCAACTATAAGACCCGCTATTATTAATGAATTAATGAAAAATATGTGCTTTATTTACAAATATGACATGTACTCATAATAAACAAAAACTATCTATTTCGGTTATAAACAAGGGAGCCTCCGAGATTAACATTTCAGTTTATTTGTTCTTACACCTTTATGCATTGATTTTTGTGCCACTTTACTATTTCAATTTTATAATTAAAAAAATTAAAAAAAAATATTATATTGTAATATTATATTGTGAGATAGAGATATATTTACATATTTATGTCAGAGATAAACTTATATTTTGCCGTTATTATAAACTTGTATTTTATGGAAAGGGCAAAAAAAAAAAAAAAAATTGAATTTTATCTTAGGCAGACCTATCTGTTCTCCTCCTCTCTATCTCCCCCAGTTTCCCATTGTTGCGCACTCAACGTTCTCCATCGAAGCACATTCCACGTTCTCCATTGAGCCGCATTCTGATATTTCTATTTTTACCCCTCATTAAAGCAGCTTCTAAGGTAAGTTGTTGTTTCTTTTGGTAATAATTGCATATTAATTTCAGTTCATCTATCTTATCAAAAAAAAAAATCAGTTCATCTATTCTAATTTAATTGTAAGTAGAACTATTGGTTATAATTGCTAAGGTTATGAAAGATCAAAACGAGCGATTTTGTTGCTAGAGAAGAAAAATATGAGCCTAATTTGATAATTGAATCAAACGTGCCTTTTCTCCCTAAAATTATGTGATTTTTCGAGCTTAATTTTATAATTAAATCCAATTTGGCTGCTAAAATATGAGGTTAATTTGATAATAAAATCAAACATGCCTTTTTTCTCTAACATTATGTGATTTTTCGAGCTTTGATCATAATTGAATCGAATTTGGTTGCTAATGTGTTGCAGAACCCTTTTTTTTCCATACTGTATTGTTACATTACTTTGTAATCTAAATATCTGATCAGATTTTAGGCAGAGAGATGAGCGGAATGGCGTTTTCGAGCACCATTGCCCACTGTCTGCTGCCTCAATCCGCTATGTCTTTATCTTATAGTAGGAACAACCGCATCACTATTCCAATTTCATCTTTTTCATTTCGAAGACGACGTGGAAATTCACAGAATAATGCTACCAACAACATTATCTGTTGTTCCACAGTCTCGACCTCGAATTCAGCAGCCAATTACCAGAACACAAACACGGGTACTTTTGGAATCGATGGTGCAGAAGTACTAGATTGTGTGATTGTAGGTGGTGGAATCAGTGGTCTTGGCATTGCACAAGCTCTCTCTACAAAATACTCCTCCCGCTCCCCAAATTTCATTGTCACGGAGGCTAAAGATCGAGTTGGCGGGAACATCACTACTGTGGAGGCCGATGGCTATATCTGGGAAGAAGGACCTAACAGCTTCCAGCCATCTGATGCAGTGCTCACCATGGCTGTAAGTCTGTGTGTTTTTTGGGTTTTCTCTCTCCTTTCTATAAATGTTAGTATTACTAATTATAAATTGGTTGATTGATTAAATCAATGGGAACAGGTTGACAGTGGATTGAAAGATGAATTGGTGTTTGGAGATCCTAACGCCCCTCGTTTTGTGTTGTGGAATGGAAAATTGAGGCCTGTACCGTCCAAGCCCACTGACCTCCCTTTCTTTGACCTTATGAGCTTCCCCGGCAAGATTAGGGCTGGACTCGGTGCTCTTGGCTTACGTCCTTCTCCTCCAGTTTTGTCCTCTTTACTGTAATTTCCAAATTTTTTGTACCAGTCCTTTTGAATTCTTATTCAACTTCTACCCTTTGTGAAAAATTGACAGGCTCACGAGGAATCTGTTGAAGATTTTGTCCGTCGTAATCTGGGTGATGAAGTATTTGAACGCTTGATTGAACCCTTTTGTTCAGGTTCATTTCTTGCTTTTCTCTTTCTTGTAAACACTTATTCGCTCACTCTATAGATTTATTTGGTGATAAGAGAAAATGAAGAGACGACAGAGGAGGAAGGGGTAGAGGAATAATTACCCTTTAAGTGAGTGTGAAACAATGTAATTCATTTCCTTGGCTAAACAGTTGCACAGAAGAAAGAGTTAGCTGAATACATGATAGATCCAGTTTTAATTTGTACAAGAAATCCTTGCTTACTAGTGCCATAGGTATTTAATCAACCATATTGTATCTTGTTGGAAAAAGTAAACTAATTTTTTATAAAATTATACATGGAGGTAGAAAAGTATCATTTTAACCTCATGTAAACTCTTCACGAAAGATTTTATTGCGGCAACCATACACTTTATTCATGTTGTTATATACGAAGTATATAATAAATTTTTCACAAATGTATCATTAATTTTGATGTGAAAACTTAATTTTCTTTTCAGTTTCTGTAACAAAGGACAGGATGTAAGTTCAGAAATTTGACACCAACCTCAAGAAGCTTTGATAGGTCTTTGCTCTGTCACTGACTCCTATTTTTATTTGCTCAGGCGTGTATGCTGGCGATCCTTCCAAGTTGAGTATGAAAGCTGCTTTTGGCAAAGTTTGGATCTTGGAGCAAAAGGGTGGTAATATCATTGGTGGCACCCTCAAAACAATCCAGGAAAGAAAGAACTATCCAAAGCCACCTCGAGACCCGTAATGACACTACTTTTTTCTCCTCTTGTCCTGGCTCATAGACCTTTAAGGTTGGAGTCTCTTTTTCCAGTAGTGGTGCCTCTCATCATCCAAAGTCACATCATATTGCAGGCGCCTCCCTAAACCAAAGGGCCAGACAGTTGGATCCTTCAGGAAAGGACTCACTATGTTGCCAACAGCCATTTCTGAAAGGTTTTTTTTTTTTTTTTTTCCCTTGAAATGTGTTCTCTAAGACACGAAGTAGTTAAATTGTCAGGAAGGAAGGATACTGCATCTGCAACAGTCTCTGCTTTTATGTTTGGATTTTTTTTTCTTGTGCTCAAATTTTTGCTTGACATATTAACTTTATATTACTTTGCAGGCTTGGCAGCAAAGTGAAACTATCATGGACCCTTTCTAGTATTGTTAAGTCACCAAATGGAGAATATAATCTGACTTATGAAACACCAGATGGACTGGTTTCTGTACGGACCAAAAGTGTTGTGATGACTGTCCCATCACATATTGCAAGTAGCCTCCTTCGTCCACTTTCAGTAAGTATTATAGTTTTGTGTTGACATTGCTTTTCAGATTGTTTGACGTGATAGTCTCACTTGGCCTTGTTCTTAGTAAGTGTCTTACTCTTTAGATTATTATGTCTAAAAGGATAGGAATATTTGTCTCTGAAAAGCCTGAAGCCTTGAACAAATATATTGAGATTATAGAGTGTCACGTAGCAAGTTTACCTATTAAGTTGGTTATCAATAGGCCCAAAGAAAGAGAATACTCCGAAAGCTCAGTTAACTACGTAGTACATAATAATACAAAGTTGGGATGTTAAATCAGGCAAAGTTGGTATTTTTACCATTTTTTTTTTTAATAAAATCAATCTATTATGAACTCTTTTTTTATTGTTTAGTCCACTATTGTGCCATTATTTTACTAAACCATTAAAAATATACCGTCAATTTTTTTTGAAATATAGGACTATAATTTTTTTAGAATAAATTGTTTTGGGCTTTCCCTTCTCTGCCATTGCTTAGTACTCCTCTTTCCGAAGTATAGATTCTCTACTTCCACCGCTTAATATTTTGTTTCTTGCATTCCTTTTTTAAGTCCTTATTTAAAATCACCATTTATTTCCAGCTCTTCTTTCCTTTATTTATTTTATTATATATTTTTTATAATAATTATAAATAAAACAATTTAAATAGGTCACTATAGAAAATCAAACGAAAAATTTTCCACCACTTAGAATTGTTTAGAACATTGACCTGAGCTTTCCTCGTATGTTTATATAGGATTTTATTTATTTATATTATTGATTTAGTTTCATCAGGACAATGTGATTGCCCTCACTAGGTAGATGTTGATGAGTGTACCGAGTATGTAGATATATACGAATGTACTAACTAGGTAAATATGGACGAATTTAATATTTTGCCCAATCTATCTATATCTCCCTGTTTGATTAATCTTTGAAAGCCCTAAATGTTTTGGCTCAGCCATGGTGTATTTAACAAAGAAACCCAATTCTCTTTACCCAACAAAAATTATTTCCTCAAGTAACAATCCATTTCATAGTGATAGAAACACATGAATTTGAGTTGCTATCAGACTGAAAAAACAAACAATTTTTAGTTGAGATGGCCAATTCTAAACTTTTCTAAAGAGCATATACCTAAGAGGGACCTTTGCCTTTCCAATGAAGATTGCTATTAGAAAATTTGGATATTTAGAGGTTTGATTCAAGAAAATAAGAAAGAATATACAAGAAAATCCTTGTAAGTGCTACAAGTGTTAGTTTTCTATCATCAACTACACAAAACCATCTTACTAGGCACAGAAAGAAACTGACCTATTTAAAAAAAAAGTTCCTTGTATATAATACTAAGTTGTGCAACAATAATATTCCATTTTGCTAGGTAATATTCAAGTGATAGTTTAAAATATTAATAAAAGAAGTGAAAGGTTAATATATGTCTACCACCCTTTCTAATTTACAAAGTAGAAATAAATAAAGAAATGTAAGTATTAAAAGTGATGTTAGCTGAGGCTATTAAGCATGTCACTCCTACAAAAGGTATAGTTAAGCTATTAACTTATTATATAAGGTAAAAAAAAAATACTTCCTTTGTTCCCTATATCTTGCAACATGGGAATGGCATACAAGTTATAAGAAGAGGAGAGAGATAGAGAGAATAAAGATAGAGACCCATATGATAAGGAGAGAAAAAGAGAGAAAACATGTGTAAATAGGTCAATGTTGCAATATTTGTTAAACTTCCTAAAATGGTAATTGTTGCAATATTTGTAGATTAGAGGAAATATGTAATATAAATTCTAAGAAGTATAATCCTCGGTTAAATAGTTTAAGTGATTATAATTTTCATAGACAACCCATTCCCAAAAATCATGTAGAAAACTATTGAAGTAGGCAACATTCTACATTTATCGCTGATATGGATAAAAATCTCTAAGTCAACTAAAACTTAAAAACCAAATTACTCAGGCTACAAATTTGGGATGAAAATAATCTCTTTTATTCTTATGAACATGCATCTCACAAATTTACTCAAGGTTTTATGACAACTTGAAACTCCCAAATAAATCATTACAACCTTAGATCCTATGTAGGTCGTTAACTAGGTTTCCTAATTGCTATAAATATAGTATATTTGTCACATGTAAATTCTACTCTTAAGAATAAATAAAACCATGCAACTTTCCTAAAAAATATCCTACTTGAAATAAAATCCTATGTCCCTTATAATTTGGGCTCACATATATTTGATAAAAATAAGCTAAATATTAAGATACCCTAGATGCCCTTTATAATTCCATATCAAATTCTTCTTTGTGGTTGATTTTTCCATTGATCCAAGTTGGACCTCAAACAAACATGAGGCATATGTGTCCTAAAAGCCATTTATGTCTTGTGCTTCTTGAAAGTTTTCTTAATATAACGACATAAATACATGTCAGATTCAGCTGGTTTTCTTTGTCTAGTCATATCTTGAGGTGTCATTGGATCTAACCTAATCTTCTCAAATTGGTATGTATTACATTCCCTATAATGTATTACCTTATCTTTTTAAAACTGTCATGTTCTTCAAAGTAACAATTTGCATGCATCCATTGGGACAATGTCACAAAGGTCCTCCCTATAGAAAACGTCAACTGTAAAGGATTAGTTTGAGTGGGCAATCCCAGTTTCCCAACTTCTTTACCATATCCCTTGAAGAGTTGAAGCTACATTAGCGCAACTTCCTCCATTGCTAATTGTAAAACAAACCATATCCTTAGTACACTTTGACTGATAAAGATGCTCCCTTAGCTTAAGGATTTTCCGTGTACAAAGTCCTATGAATCACACTTATATTTCTTGTACAATCTCATTCCAATCTCTTCACAATCTAAGGTATTGTCTCCTTAGGGCTATTGGGTGGTCCAGACCTACAGGGCCCCAAAATGTTTTTGAAAACCATATAAAAAGAAAACTCCTTCCCCATTACCCAATCCCTCGTGAACATAGATAACAATTTTTCCTTATTAAAACCAAATTAAACTCTTCAAATTCCCATTCTAATCTTGCATGATAAGATTACTAAAGAACAAAATAGTTATCTGTTATAGACCCGGTGTCTACCACCACTGAGCCAATAAGGAACACAGTAGCACACAACACTAGAGGACAAAAGAAATTAAGAAAGCACTAAGGAGAGGGGGAGCATGGGACTGATTCTGGTTCTGTATGGCAGCAGTAGAGGACAAGAACAATTAATATTAGGTTAATGTTTTGTAATGTGGCTTTAGTATATATAGTGTAGTAGTGAAGGCAGTAGGCGATTATGTGAATTGTGAGGAAATATGTTGAGAGTAGTAACCTCAAGTTACTAAGGGAGTGATAACCTAAAGTTATCAAGAGAGTAATAGCCTCAATCCTTTGTATCCAAATTTTCGCCATTATCAATCAAAGACTCATGCTTTAATCTTTATTTATTAGCCTAGTTAAATCAGAAATACAAGTCAGATTAGTAGTCTATTACATTATCTCCATTATCACTCTCCTAGTAAATCTTTAAATTGACTGAATTAATTTTAATGTCTACTAATGAATTTAAGTTAACTTTTCAAACAACCCACCTAAAAATAAGGTTGCACTGGCCATATTTTCATACATTTGTATCAGTATAGAGTCCCTGTGTCCCCAATTCTTTGGAATTACCATATTGGACACTCAGATCTTTACCTACATCGTGCATTTCTTCCTGAGCCAAGGTTACATAGATCTTGGTTATCTTTGCCTACCTTTTTGTGAAGGTTAACTTGATGAGAAATCTTCTTGAAATAACAGACTTTCCAGGAATTTCCCACCTGCTGGTGTTTTGGGGGAAAGGGGGGGGGGGGGTTGGTGGTGTTTGTTGTATGAACAGTCAAAGAAACCATAGTCAAAAGATAAAAACTTGATTTAATAATTACAAAGCTTATTGAATTAAGGTCTTTAATCTTGATTTTGTACACGAAGTTAAATTGAATATTGAATTGTCATAAAGATATAAATAACCATACAGATTTAAGCTCACAAAGATGCTAGTTATAGAGAATTTCATAATATAAACGTAGGCAAAAGTTGCTCTTACTTTTATAGCTGGCTAGTACTACCCTTGATAACTCTTGCTAATCGCCGTTGAATTACAATTGAATAGTCAAGATTAAGTTTATTAATCACAAGGAATGTTGGAGAAATTTGTAACCAAGCCATCACCCGACCCCATCAACTCACCAACGAAAAGTTACCCGATCGGCCGCAAACTGAAGCCCCAAATTCTTTGAAAAAAATACGAGTTTACTATGGGCAATTTCACTCGATTGGGGAGATGGGGTAAAAAAAAATATTCTTCACTACTCTGATCTCCCATAGCAATCTCGCTAATTAATGTGGTGAACTCTAAATTCTGAAAACCATGGTACATTTTACGACTCATTCCTGTAAATATACTCGATAGAGATGTTTTTAGATAGGAACAGGTAATGGTAGCTGCTACTGCATTTGTGTGGTGTTATATTTCTTGCATTTGTTCTTTAATTTGGTGTATTAATCACTGAATTCAATCAATAGTACTACATTTTTTGCACAGGATGTTGCTGCAGAATCACTTGCAAAGTTCTACTATCCACCAGTTGCAGCTGTGTCACTTTCTTATCCTAATGAAGCAATTAGATCAGAGTGTTTGATTGATGGTAAACTTCAAGGATTTGGGCAATTGCATCCCCGCAGTCAGGGTGTTGAAACCTTGGGTATATACTCCTATTCAACTGCATTTTATTTGTTGAGAGTGATTTATTTTGTAGGACTGCATCACTGAGGTAACATTTAATTTTGATATGACTTCACAGGATCAATTTATAGTTCATCGCTTTTCCCTGGTCGAGCACCACCTGGTAGGACCTTAATTTTGAGTTACATTGGAGGTTCTACAAACCCTAGTATATTACACAAGGCAAGTAATTTATCAGGGACTTCTGTCTCGTATGGTTCTAATCCAAAATTATAGGAATATGATAATTGCCTTGGGTAAAGCATCACAACTTAGGCGGCATTATTTTGGTTCCTTGAGCTCATAAATAAGCTCACACAAGCTGGATTTGCTTTTTGATTTGTTGATCTGTTTGCTCTATTAAGCTTTTCTATTAATTTTCCTTGGAAAATTTCTTACCATGCAGACGCAAGATGAACTTGCTGGGGCAGTTGACAAGGACTTGAGAAAAATTCTCATAAATCCTAATGCAAAAGATCCCCGGGTTTTGGGCGTGAGAGTATGGCCCCAAGCAATTCCACAATTTTTGATTGGCCACTTTGATCTGCTTGATGCTGCAAAAGCAGCTCTAACTGATGCTGGGTTCAAGGGATTGTTTCTTGGTGGCAACTACGTTTCAGGTGTTGCATTGGGGCGATGTATAGAGGGTGCTTATGAATCTGCAGCTGAGGTAGTGGATTACCTCTCACAATACTCAAACAAATAGGGCTGTTGCTAGGATTAGTTGTCCGAGTATTTTGCTAACAAGACCACAAAGATTGCAGTGAAAATTTTCTTATCAAGGGTATGTTTAATTGGTTTTTCTAGTTTTGGTAAATTGGAATCTTACATTGTTATATATTCCTTATTTCTCAACTAAATGAACCTACATTTCATAACTAATTGGTTTAGAATTACCATCTTTTTCAGGTTTAGAATACATTATTTCAAGCACAATGAACTCATGGTTGGTAGCCAAACCCCATGAGATTTGTAAATTTGCCACACATTAGCACGCATTGGGAGCACCCTGCCTTTTTCCCGGGTTCTCGCCTAAATAGGTACACCAAGCTATTGGTGTGCTCGGGAACATTGAAGAATTTGTTTTCTCTACTTTTCTCCTTAATAAATGTATGATACTAGTGCTAAAATCATACTTCATCTGTTATAGATTGAAACCCATTCCCCCCGCTCCCCCCCCCCCCAAAAAAAAAAAAAAAAAAAAAAACCTGTATTATTATTATTATCATTTTTCGGATCAATCACGTGTTGCCACGTGTCCAAGTAACCTAGTTTAATAGGTTATTGATAAGTTGTTAACTAGATGTGCCTAAAAAAAGAAAATGCACCCTAAAGTTATTCCATAATAATCGAAAAATTGTTTTTATTAATAGAAAATCGCACAAAGTTGAAATTATTAAAACTAAATTTTCCTTTGTTAAATCATGATAGTAATATAAGCTCGTGATATTATGCTTATACAAAGTATTGGGTGTGGCAACAATTGATGACCTCAATTTTAGTTTTATATTCCACTTGGTGTGTGGGGATCACAAGGACACTATTCTTTAGGGCTCTAAGGGGGTGTTTGGTTCATCAAATTGGAATGGATTGGTATGGAATCTCATATTGGGGATCACAAAGACACTATTCTTTAGGACTTTAAGGGGGTGTTTGTTTCATCAAATTGGAATAGATTGGTATGGAATCTTATAGTAGAGGTATGGATTCTAAAATACATACTAACCCAAAGTTATTTGGTTTTATTGTTGGAATAGATTTAATACTTCATTAAAGGGTCGTTTGGTTGAATCATTTGGAATGGGTTGGAATAGAGTTAGAATTCATTTCATCTAGTATTTTGTGAGTTAAGACTACTGCGAGGACTATTTTTCAATAAAATAGCAAAAGGGAACTAAGTTATTTTCAGGGAGCAAAAGGGGACTCCAGGTGACTTTTCCGGTGAGATTAATTAAAGATGTCCCATAACATAGTCACTTTGGTTAAATACCATAGTCCCCTTGGTTAATCAATCATGTGTCGTGTTCTTCTTTTCTTTTTTTTTTTTTTTTTTTTAATTTTTATGTTTAATTTAAAAATAGTTATTTATATTATATTTATACTTATATTTATATTTTTATAATTCTAGTGAGTATACTTCCTCCGTTCCTTATCACGTTTGCCAACGCATAATTTTCACGAGTTATATCTCCCATTATCAACATTGTAAAATTATAAAAAGTGGATATTAATAAAATATACATTAAGACGATTCAAACAAGATCCCACGTGATTATGTTTTATCGTAACTACAAATTACAAAAGCTAGTCAAAATGTTATTTGTGAATAGTGTAAAAATCAAACTGTGTAATCTAATAAGAGGAAGTAATTTTTTTTAAAAAATCTTTCCTCCTGCTCCTTCCTAGATTTCCTCTCCCTGCTTCTCTCTCTGCTTTCAATGGCATTCATTCTCCAGTCACTGTAACTTCAATTCCTTATTTCCCTTTATTCTCTCCTGCCACCACCCACGCCCCTTTGCTTGTTTCTCTTTCCTCCCCTAGCAGTCCACCGCCGCTACTTCCTCATTATCCCTTCTCGTGAATGGTGAGGACAAGATTAGTGGAGGTATACATAATTTTTTGAAATCCGCCATTGATGAAACTCATAAGGGCTTTGAAGGGTGGAAGGGGATTTTGTTTTTATTTCTTAGGGAAGGAGGATGGTGGTGGGGGTGGTTGGACGATAGTGGTTTTACTGTGGTGGTGGAGGGCAATATAAATATCTTTATATAAATTAAAATAAATTAATTAATAAAGGGACTATGTTTCATTCACTATAATCAGTGTAATAAATAGGGGACTAAGTTCTTCCATGGTAAAGAAGAGTTAACTCACCTGAAAATGGTTAATTTCACCGGAAAAGTAAAGTGAGTCCCCTTTTGCTCCCTAAAAATAACTTAGTCCCCTTTTGCTGCTTTATTGAAAAACTTAGTAGTCCCCAAGTGTAGTCTTAACTCAGTTTTTTGTTTGATTGAGGTTTTTAGTAATGGAATCTCATACCCTATGGATTCTAACTCCCCCTACTCACCCCCCAAGATTCACAATCTATTCTATTAGGGGGTGTATGGTTCATCAAGTTGGAATGGATTGGTGTGGAATCTCATAATAGAGAAGTATGGACTCCCGCCACCGCCGCACACAACTTCCCGTTCTTTCTCTCCCCTCCCACCTTCAGCCCTAAGCCATTTCAATCTTTTCCCCTCCCTAGACACCGACCGACCACTTTCTCTGCCTCCTCTCTTAACGTCGCCCTTCGCTGGACAAAACCCACCTGAAAACCACCAAACCCACCTAGAATCCCCACCCTAACCTCCAAAATATCACCCAAAACCACTACCGAACCACCGAAATCCACCCATGTGTATGGAAATCCATCGAAACCCACTCCTGACCATCGAAAACCCAGCCCACACCCCAAATCAACCCAACCTGAAAAGCTTTAAAAAAAGAGAAATATGGGCGAGGAATAGAGTTTTCGGTGGGAGGGGGAGAGAGAGAAAGGGGCCGACGGTGGGTGAGGGTTGCGGCCGGCGAGGGGTGGGGTACTGTGAGGAGAAGGATATTTTTTAAAAAATTAATATCAAAAATTAATTAAACAATTAATTTGGATTAAAAATTTTAAAATGTATTAACCAATAACATTAGAACACATGGGCATACTTAACCTAAGCAACAAGTTACCTTCAAGGCTAACAAGTCATGACTCATTTAGTGAAATATCCTATAAAGATCGACTTATTTTCGGTTAATAAAAAAGTAGACTTATTTTGAGCTAACCGCACAAAGGTTAGCTTATTTTTGACAAATTTTCCTTCTAATTATATCTTTTTTTTTTGTTTTAGCAACTCATAAAGACAAATTTGGTTAAAAATCAAACCCAACCATTTTTTGACCCCGATAGCGGATTTGGGCATGATCAGCCTGACCCGACCCAAAGCCTTGACTAAAAGTGGGACACCTTTATCAATCAAAACCCGGTCTAGCCTGAATAATCTTATAAAAGCCCTCATAGAGTCTCATATCTATACTGATATTTAATAAAGGAAAATTTAAAGAAAATGTAGAGTGCCATGTGTCATTTTGGTTTTTAGTTTTTTCAAAAAAAATAAAAAATAAAATTACTTTCTTAAAAAATATATGCCTTTTCATCCTAATGTTCAGTTTATTCCCAAAATGACGCTTTATTCCTCTTAAATTTCTTCCCAAATAATTAGTTTCTTCTTTCATAATCCATATGAAAACTGATTAGGGGATTTTGCTCCCACCAATCGGAATGCGCCACGTGGGCCAATCAGGTCCTGCCAAGTGTCCCCCAGTTGGAACTGTCAGGGCTTGCCACGTGGCACACGCTTATTCGTCCACCTTGGACCTGTTATGTCATGACACGTGGCATACTCCATGCCTAATGGAGAAACCGGCCACCCAGGCCCAACTTCCGAGGGAAGCCCAATCAGCCCTAGGTTAACCTAAACCTAGGATTGGCACGTTTCCCAAGGTTATAAATACCTCCCTTAATCCTCATTAAGGGGGGATTACAGAAAAAACATATTGATTACACATACATTAATTACAGAGATAATAGGCTGATCACGCTAACAAAGCAGATTACGCTAAAAACTCACATTAAACACTCTCACCTAGAGAGACCCACTCACTTTAATTTCCGCATTAATTACTCCTTAATCAAGTACTAACTTGACCGTTGGAGGCGGAGCTCCCACCACCAGGAGTCTCCGTTGTTTTGCAGGTACAGGCGTCCGGTTCCAGTCTCGGAATTGTAACTCTCCCGCAGGACATCAGAAAACCCCGAAACATTTGGCGCCGTCTGTGGGGAGAGTACTTCTGAGATGGCATCCAAGTCTGTACCGACTCCTGAAGAGAGGCGTCCCCTAGACGACCCTCAAGTTCAGCCGAACCACGATACTGAGAGTGAATTTGAAGTTGAAGCTCACACAGCTTCAGACGGGACCCTAAGGGCCCGACGTACCCGTCATACCGAAAGGAGGGAACGGGAACATCTTCATACAGGAAGCGAGCCAGCAGGCGCACCGCCTGTTCGACAACAGCCGACTGATGGGTCTTCTCCCATCACAAGGAACGAACTCATGACCTTCATGAGGGACTTCAAGGGAGAGATTCAAGAGTTGATCAACAAGAAGCCGCCTGCTCTGGTCAAGGAGCAGTCGGCTAAGAAACCCTCCACTTCACTGAAGAGGAAGCCAGTTCAAGGGCGAGAGGCGACTCCTCATCCTAAATCTAGGAAGCGGGAGCCACCTGCCCTTGATTTCACAAAATTCCGTTTTCCTACAGGAAATAGGAAACCTGTTCGTCATATTCAGGCGGACGGGTCGAAGCAAACATTCACAGACGCTCGGCTACTGCTAGAGCAGAAGAAGAGTGACCGATTGTCAGAGTCGGCCTCTACTTCAAACTTCCAAGACAGTCTGCGAAATACCTCAATGAGGCATACGCAGTCGTATCATGAGAGTCAGTCAGGCGGTACCTACCGTCAGTCCGGCTTTCATAGCGACCAGGCGGTACCAAACTTACCGTTTGTGCCGCAACAACAGTATTTTTTGCAGCCACCTCCGTTTGGTGGACATGCAGCAAAAAACGTCCAACCTATGGACTGGCAGCTACGGTTGCTTAGACTTGGTGAACAGTCGTCGGCCTTCTCCAAGGAAATTACTGAAGCCGCTCAGCCGGCCAAAGTGAAAAATGTATTAGTAGGCGCCTATGACGGCACTACTAACATAGAAGACCATCTGATGGCATTCACCAACCTGATGTACCTTCAAGGGTTGGATGATCCCACTTGGTGCAAGTGTTTCCCAGCAACTCTCAAAGGAATCGCACAACAATGGTTCGACAACCTGCCGACTGGTTGTGTAAATAACTTCAGGACGCTTGCTTACTTATTCACCTCCAACTTCGCCATGAACATCCCTGCGAAGAAGACGACCCTTGATTTAGGAACAATTCAGCAGGGCGAGAAGGAGGGTCTTCGTTCTTACATCAGGCGGTTTAACCTGATGAGAATACAGATTCAAGGGTTACCGGATGAGGTAGCCTATACTGACTTTTTCAGAGGTCTCAAGGACGGGTCGACCTTCAAATTTGACTTGGTCCGAAAGAGGGTGGCGACTCTTCAAGAGGCCTTGATTGAAGCGGAAGCCTATATACAGGCGACTGATCTTTGTACGGTAAAACAGTCGGACGGGAAAAGGTTCGACAAAAGAGAAGGACGACAGAAACAGTCGTCAAACAAAGATGAGAAGAGAAAAGAGGTCTGGGCGGCTGATTCCTC